AAGGAATTTTGGGGACTACTGATTTAAATTTTTTCTGTCCAATTTTGAAATCATTATATCCTCAATATAGTAGAACTAATCAACTGAATTAAGATGGGAATGAAAATCAGTGGCTGATTAGGATTTGAAGCCTAAATTCCTAGAATGATGCCAACTAGATTACAGAGCTTACTGCAGATATTAAAAGTAAATATTGCTTATTATTTGAGATGATGAAATGTCACCTTTAAAAAGATATGAATTATTACTAGAAAGAAAACAAATGAAAACAATCTAATTTGAGAAAATTGATACAAACAAAATCTACAATAAGATAGATTTGCAATATGCCTTTTAGGGGCAATTTAAAAAATAGATTTGTCTTGATTTCAGAGAGGAAGGGAGAGGGAGAGAGAGTTAGAAATATCAATGATGAGAGAGAATCTCTGGTCGGCTGCCTCTTGCACATTCCCTACTGGCATCAAACCTGCAACCTGGGTATGTGCCCTGACCGGGAATCGAACCATTACCTCCTGGTTATAGTTGATGGTCAACCACTGAGCTATGCTGGCTGGGCTGAAGGCAACTTTTGTGTGGTATAATTTTGCTCCAAATTATAGGATGCTCCAAAAAATGTATACACACTTTAAATAGTTATAAAGGCAGTATTTATTTAAATACATGTCATTTTCAAAATAAGGCTATCAGCTGTTAAAATGTGAGTACATTTTTTGGAGACACTATTTTTTTGGACACTTACTGTTATGCTTTTCAATAAGATGAGTGATTTAAATTAAGTCATTTGTTCTTCACAAACAACTCTAATGAGGCTGGTGGTGTTATTAATATTCCTGCTTTAAATAGGAATCAAAGGCAAAAGGAAGTAGCATCTCTGAGATGGAAACCCTGGCGGTTAGATTCTGGAACCCATGCACTCAGCCATGGTGGTGGGCTGTCTCCACCATGACCACACTGCCTCCGTCACCACTGTGACATTGGATAAACATGGAACTCTCTAAGTTTGCTTCAGCTGGTCTCTAGTTCTCTCCTTCAGCACTGTCCCATCCAATCTGGTGAGTCACTGGTGTACCTTTCTAACATGTCATCTTTTAGTGTCATCCAGCAGGGTTCAGATTAGGGTAATGATTCAGAACTTTATACAAATTAGAACAGATTTTTAAAAATCTTGGGAGAACATAAGATAGTAAAGGGTCTATAAACCATCACTATACATGATTATATAAATTTGGGATTATTAGTATAAAAGAGAGAAGAAAAATAAATTAGTATAGAAGAGGGAGGAAGATAGATAAAGTAAATGGTAGTTATCTTTAAGGATTTGAAAGCCTTTCACAGTAAAAAAAGATTAGAAATAAGACTGACGATTATAATAAGTAAACCTTTTAGCCAAATGTAATAAAGGACTTTGTAATAAAGACCTTGTTGATAATGGAATGGGCTATCTTGGAGGTTCACCTGCTCTAAGAGACTAGAAAACAAATGATCAGGAATACTGCAATGGTGGGCTGCTTGCCTGGTCCTCAAGGTCCATTTTAATTATAGTATGACTATTGATTCAAATGTATAGTTTCCGAAGTCAGAAATTAAAGCTGTTTAATTCTTTATTAAATTCTCATGCTATGGTAATTATAATGTTTCAGTAGGGTCAGAATAAAGGTCTGGGCTAACACCCTACAAGTGACATTCTGGGACTGAGAGTCTTGGGAGGCAGAATGCGAAACTGATCGCTAATGTTTCCTTCTTCTCGAGGTATTTTTTGGGGTTACTGGAAATTGCTAGGAGAAGAGAGAAAATAATTGTTCCCTTCTGTATTAAACTTAATAGGAACAAGAATGAAGTCATGTTGACAGGGAGAATTCTTAGAAAATAAAAAATGGCAACATTACTGGAGATAATGGCAGTTCCCACACTCAACTGACAAGTGGCCTGTGACCTTGTTCTGCTCCCAGATCTTGTCAGGACTTCTGGAAGACAATGTGGTTGCTCAGAAAAATCTCCCAATCTTTATTTGTTTGGGAATAAAGACTTTCTTTTTCTGAAGGGCAACCTTGCTAAAGTGATATATGCATTCACACCCTATGTTCTAGCTAGTCTATCAGAACAACCCTAGGTCTTGACCTTGGATGAGAGGGGAGGAGAAAGAGGAGGTAAAAGAGCCTGGGGATTGCTTTGGCTCAACTGCCAAGGTCATGCTGTCTTCCTGTCCACCCCACCTCCCATAATATCACAACACTTTCCCTCCTGCCACCCTGATTTGTTTGCAAGGAGTCGGCAAACTCATTTGTTTGCAAGGAGTCAGCAAACTCATTAGTCAACAGAGTCAAATATCAACAGTACAACGATTGAAATTTCTTTTGAGAGCCGAAAATTTTAAACTTAAACTTCTTCTAACGCCACTTCCTCAAAATAGACTCACTCAGGCTGGTATTTTGTGGAAGAGCCACACTCAAGGGGCCAAAGAGATGCATGTGGCTCATGAGCTGCAGTTTGCTGACCATGGGACGAAAAATTGTTGAAAATCGAGACTGTCCCGCCAAAAGCGGGATGATCTGGTTACCTTAGTTTAGGTCAACAAACCTACCCATTGATTTACAGGGAACTGAAATATTCTATGAATAAATAGAAATTACTGAACCAAGGAACACTATGTAACTTGTTGGGTAGTGCTTTCAACAGAACCTTTGAAAATGTCATGTTTTAAGTGGAAATGTATTTAGCAATATTGTCCTGGTATACTGTCCTAAGTATCTTTTTCAGTGGATTAAAGCTTCAGAGAAATATAAAACTTACTGGATGTATAGTAGACATGGAGATAGGAAACTACACTGGCCATGAGCTGCCTTTGGGAAATCAGTTGCACTAGAATAGAAAGAGTTCTGGATGTGCAGCAGGAAGACCCAGGCTGGAAGGCATGACCCAGAAGGACTACTGAGTGCATTGCTTTCCAATATGTCTATGGGGCGGGCCATTTTTGTTGGTTGGTTGGCTTATTTACATATTTTAATTTCAATCCATCACAAAATGGATGTTTTTGTAAAATATAATAAATATAAAAAGTTAAATTCTTTTTTATTATAATATTCGACAGACATAACATTAACCTGTCAAATAGTCATAAATGTGTGCAAAGGCTGGCTCTACCTATCTGGCTGCAGATGGGCAACAAGCAGTTTGTGGGTCACTCTTTGAGTAGCTGGCTGTGGGGAACTCAGCCTTCCTTAGTTTCTCCACTTAGTCTCGAAAGGCGGTGTGAGGATTAAGATGATAAAAAAGGTGTGTAATCAACTAAAAAGTGTCATCCAAATGTTAAATTTTTATTGTCCTCATTATCATAACAGTAGTTGAAAATGATGATATGGGGCCAAATACACTTTTTGTTCTGTGAAGGTAGTTATTAATGTGGTGCAATTAAGTTAGCACACCTAGTGGCAGTGACTTCCTTTGAAACCAACAATTTCCCCAAAACAGAACGGTTGGCCAGGAGGCAGTTGGGAAACTGCACCAGAAAGCTCCCGAAGTGTCCTTCTCATCTCTGGCACTCTGCCTGGGGATCAGCTGAAACCTCACAGCGCCATTTTCCTCTCATAGGGCCCAGTTACTAGAAGCCACTAACCTAGGATGGGCATTAAGGGTTCCAGCTCAAACACACCCTTCCCACCAGATCACCACTTTCTTCTTGTCAGGCCAGGGAACTAGGTCAAACAATATGCCTTGGAATCATAGTGGGAAATTTTAGGCACTTCTGGGCACAAGAAGAGTGGTGTTTGAATACACCCGCACACACACACACACACACACACACACACACACACACACACACACTCATGCACTGCTTGCGCTTACACGCACACATACACATGCACATCAGAGCCATTCAGAACCAGCATGAGAGCTCTCCCCAGGTGGTGGGGATCAGGGTCTTTGCTGAAGGCCTGCCCTTGGGTTTCTCTTGGCAGATCCCCCAGCAATGCCTTTGGAAGCAGATTCTAGTGAAAGAGGGACTGCACCAGTTGCTGAACATTAGAGGCTCACACGCATCTAAGCAGACTGCTATACTCCACCTCCTCCACTGGCCAGAACAGGGCACTCTCTATTTTTCCCATCCCTCTGGTTTCCCACTGCCATTCTGCCAGCTCTTGTACTTTCTTATTTTATATTAAAATAGGCATTTTTTAATATCATACAAGTAATATCTATAAAATAAAAAATTAATCAGGAAGATATGAAAAAGAAAAACAAATAATTTTCTCCCCTACTCCCTGACCTTTGGGTAAGTACTCTTAATGATTCTTTAAAAATTGTTTTTAAAATTGATTTCAAAGAGAAAGGAAGAGGGAGAGATAGCTAGAAACATCAATAATGAGAGAAAATCATTGATCGGTTGCCTCCTGCAAGCCTTCTACTGGGGATTGAGCCCACATTCTGGGCATGTGCCCTGACCAGGAATTGAATTGTGACCTCCTGGTTCATAGTTCATAGGTCAACATTCAACCACTGAGCCACACTGGTTGGGCTATGTATGCATACTTTCAAGAAATGTTAAGGCCTATCTATAATAATAAAAGTGTAATGGCCTAATTGCCTTGGCTAATTAGACCAAACAGCCGAATGACCTTCTGGACGACATTCCTGACAAAGCCAAGAATGCAAGGGCCAAGGCAAGCTGTCTCAGCTGCAAGGGCTGGGTCCCTTGCATGATTTGTGCAAAGGGCCTCTAGTAGAAATATAATATGTGCTAACATATATGTCACTTTTTCTTTTTGATAAATGTGATTGTTACATAGTTTGGCAATTGGCCAAGATGATTCCTCCCCTCCCCCCCATACTTACCTTGACATTCAGATTTTGGTCTTATTTTACTTTCAAACTTTCCCCCCCCAGTACCTTCACAGCCCTATGTCATGGTCAAATACCCAGCCTTTCTTCTCCCTTCTCACCAGCCAAGTCCACCCTCCATCCTCCATTCTCCCTCTTCCCCCCACCATTCCCCTGCTCATTACCTTTCCAGCCTTTGCATGGTCATGGCCAGTGTCTTATTCAGCTCATCTATCATCCTGCAGCTGGAGGGGTGCATGGGGAGGGAGCCGCTAGAAGAGGGGTGGTGCTGGCCAAGGCTGCCATACTGCAGCTGGTGCTGGATCTGGGACGGCAGGACCGTGTGGTGGTGCTGGGCTCCACTCTGTTGGCCACTCTTCTGGGCTGCATAGGATGCCAGCGAGAGGTCTGGCCCTCCTACAGGCATACAGATCATGACTTTCTTTGGAGGTAGCGGAGGTGACAGTTTCACTGGCAGACAAGGCAATTTCACAGGGGCGCCAGAATCTGTGGCAGAAGGTGAGAGACCGGTATGAGTTTTGGGGTAAGAAACCCAGAACACTGCACATGCCTACCTTGGGCTGTGGCCTTTGGGGGCCCTGAGATAAAATTCACCCACTGAAGACACAGCAGGATGAGAGCTCTCAGCAAACACCCATCATCACCTTTCCTGCTTAATGTGTACCAGCTGCAAAGGCCCTCAGGTACTCAGGCATTAGTGGTGCCTGTCACACAGCTGTCAGGCTGTGGGTCAATAGCAGCTGTGTACCCTCTGCTCATGGAAACCCATGGACCTTTGAGACCTCCTCTAGAATGCCCCATGATGCCTACACCTTGGCCATTATGATGTAAACATATCCTTTCAGTTGGCACTTTCTAACAGGCAAGAGATTGGAAGTCAGCCCTAGGTTCAAGTCCACCAACAGCATACCCCTCCACCGATAACTTTAACGATGCACCCTCTATCCCCTCATCTCCACACTTGGGAGGATTTGCTGTCACAGAGAGCTCAGGTGCCCCATATGAGGGTGTGCTGTGAGCATGGGGGCTGGACTGGCCCACCCACTCACATGGCATCCACAGTGGGCTATTCAAACTTAAAGCGGCTCCAACAGGCACTCGGGGAACTGATGGAACTGGCCTCCACCCAACTCCTGGTTCCATGACAGTGGCACTGAATTTCCCAGAGATACTCTGAATCAGGGGATACTTAGGGTTAGACCAGCCCTCATGGTGTCTCTAGGATGACCTTGCAGTCTTCTGCTGAACCCTACATTTCTGGACATCATCTAGCACAGGGGTGGAGGTGGGGGATGGGGGCGCCCAGGAGAGGAGGCATGGTTGAGTTGTTCAGGTTGTAGGCTGCACAGCCAGGAAGTCAGTGCGGGGAGAGAGGTGGGCAAGTATAGTTCACTTCACACCTGGTGCTCATACTGGGAGCGGTACTGGGCTCAACTCTTGGTCTTTGAGGCCCTAGGTTTTTCTCCAACTATCTGAGTGCTTTGAGGGTGGCAGTTTAACCACCACAGTCCTGCCAAAATGACATCTCTAGTGCACAAATCTGACTATGTCACTCCTCTAGTTTAAAACCTGCCAGTGACCTAGGACTAAAGCTCAGCTTTGACACATCACTCAAGGCTCCACGGCCTCCTTGCTGATCAGTTCATTTTCTCATGTTCACACTTTACCTCCTTGAAGTCTGCTAGGTTCCTCCAGTTGGAAATAGCCTCTCCCATCTTACTTCTGATCAGTCTCTCCTACTGCTTTTCTCCCCTGGATTTTACTTATTTGCTCACCCCCAAATTGAGTCTCCATCCCCAGCTCATTCCTACCAGGTGGCCTTTGTCCCTCACATTCTCTCAGGACTGTTGCCATCCTCTTTGGCTTCCCATGCTCAGTGGCCACATCTTCTATATCACAGAGAAACCACAGTGAGCCCCCCAAGACTCCTCTTCCCTTTGATCAGGTCTTGTTCTTACCCTGACCCACAGGCATCGCCCTCACTCCTGAACCCACAGGCATTGCCCTCACTCCTTAACCTCTGACATTTCCATACCCCTGGGTCTTTGTCACTTTCCCTCAAATTGGAACTGTCTTCTGTTTTCTTGGTCAATTCCTACTCTCCCTTCAAGATCCAGATAAAAAATGTCTTCTCCTGAAAAAATTTCCATGATCATTACATCACTTCTTCCATCATGTACCCACCGAGTCCACTGTGGGCACTCGTATGTCAATGCTGACAACATCAATATGTCATCAGAGCTAGCACTTACACCAGGCCTGTTATGTGCCCAATGTTGTTCTGTGCTTTTCATTTCTAACCAATGTAATCTTCACAACAAGCCTGTGATGTGGACACTGTTATTATCTCACTTTTACAGACAATGTCACTGCGCTCCAAACTGAGCCTCCTGTTTACATAGCTGGCTCCTCTGGAGAACAAAGACCGTGAACAATTTGTCATTATATCCTTAGCATCTTGAACAAGTGCCTGGCTCACATAGCAAGAGGCTGAAAACATGTTTACAGAATGAGCTGAAACCATGATGAATTTGTGAGAGATGAATTCGCACCTTTCAAGAAGCTAGGCTAGGAAGCAGATATGAGCATAAAATGGATCACAGTTCTGGGATCGTGCAGCTGTGGATGCATGGACACTACTCTGCTGATTCTACAGCTGAGGCACAGAAAAGCCCAATGGTTCCAAGGAGCCCGATGAGATGGCTCCCCAAATGTGAACCAACCATAACTACAAGACTCCCTCAAGCTCTCCCCCAAAGGCTCATCCTGTTCGACCACCACCATGCACAGGACACAGTGGTGCTAATTCCAAAGTGGCTGGGAGCAGAAACTCACCACCTGGTCCTGTTCCTGTTACTGAAGGATGCATTCCTGGGGCTCTTCGAAATTTTAGCACAAACCTAGCAATGCAATGTGTCTGGAAGTGTTAAAGCTTTATGTCAGGGACCCTTAACCCATGATTCCCTCATTTGTGGGTCCAGCTGTCTGCCTTTGACACTGTCTGTCTAAGGCAGACAGATGCTCAGATGCTTGGGCAGGAGAAAGCAGAGCCAGGAGGCAGCATGGAGCTGACCACCCAGGAAGGCACAGTGATGACATTGGGGTCTGTCCATCTTGTGAAGCTCTAACTTCCCACGCACCCTCCTCCACAGCATTACTTATCATACTTCTATAGCAAAGCTTACTTGGTTTCATCATTGGAGAAATAGCCAAGTGTATGCCAGGAATTCTATCAAAACAAAGCAAGGAGGAAATGACTAGTGGGACCAAGTTAGTGGAGATGGTTGTTTATTGTCCCAGGAAAGACCAGAAAGGGCCTTGGAGTTCCCTCTCCTCCCCTTTTATGCCTGCACCTTCCTTTTGGTTGTTTCATTTCACATGAGCATAAATTTAAGAGTGATAGACAATGCAATTTTGTCTCAAGCAACAAATACTTAATCAGAAGTATAGTTTTTCCTAAGTGTGGATTCAATGCATTAGACCTCACTGTCCTCCTCCTTGCTGGTTTTGGCTTTGCCTTATGTGAAATGTATGCATTTGTTAGATGATAAATAAACATATCCTACTTCTCACTTCCGTTCAGCAAGACACTGACATTTCTGTAGTAAGAACCTCAGTGAGATGAATGGTACTGTGCTGCATGCCACCCATCTTTTCCTTCCAAGATACCAAATTCTTAGCATAGTTGTGAGGGTGAGACAAGACAATGTGGACGTGCTTTGTGAATTACAAAGCACTATAGGCATTCACAGTGTGACCAGAATTGTCTGAGGCAGACATGACTCCTGTTAGCCAAGAGATCTTCACTTCCTTCTGTGAGGGACTCCTAGTGGAAGAATATGTCTCCATTCAGAAGCTGCTGGAGATGAGTGCTTATTTCTATGCTGCTCCACATTGCTTTTTGTATATTTCGGTGTGCCACACCTGTGAGAGTTCACCTGGCCTCATGCTTCTCAGTCTAGGGTGTGAAGATGGAAGCCAAGGAAGCAACAGAGAGTATAGTGTTTCTGTTATACAGGGAGGGCTAAAGTAGGCTTACACTGTTCATATGGAAAATAATACAATCATGAATAAATAATAATACAAGGAAAAAACTCTGTATTTCATGTACTCACTACTGTAAGCCCACTTTGAAGGGTAAGCAGGGAAAAACCAGGTGAAAGTGAATCAAGCAGGTGAGCAAAGAGGCTTGCAAAGGACCATCATTGCAGTCTGTCATGTTTGACAGAGAACTGCAGGAAGGGCAAAAGGCGGGGCTGTGCAGGTCGCAGAGTGTGTCCTCTGCATCCATGCTGAGAGCTGGTGGCAAAGAATGCAGATCTGGAGGTGAGAAAACCTGGATTCACCACCTGGAAAGGATAGCTAATCTTTTTTGGGACTTAGACTTTTTTACCTCTAAAAACCCAGGGATAAAAATACCTCCCTTACCTTGATAGCCCCTCCCTGAGTTGCTACATGACACTTACAAATTGTCTGAGGCCTCAGTCTACCTCTTGTGTTTATAATGATGACAGTGGCTGGCCCTGCTGGGGCGCACAGAGCTCCCTGCTTGCTGACTTAGAAATGGATGAGTCTTCTGCAGCCAGACTGATCAAGATGCAGTGTATTCATAAAACTGTCTCTGTTGATGGAGTGGAAGGAGGAAAAACAACAAGTTCCAGAGAACAAGGAAAATAAACCCAAACTGTGAGTGTCAAAGAGCCATAAAACCCAAGGGGGCTGTATTTCCAAACATGATACTGCTCTGGACAAGGAAAATGAAACCCGCAGATTACTTCTGCAATAGTTTCTCTGGTCAGAGTGCTGTGGAATGAGTCTGGCTAAAGGATCACACTCCCAGCCTCTCTTCTCACTTAATTAACACCTGCTGCAGAAGCCATCTGTAACTGCTGATATATCAGATGTACTTGTTAATGATAGTAGCACTTAGTGTCTTAATGAAAAAAGATGTAAGAATTTCCCAGTTATTTGCTGGTTCCAGCAAGTCAGAATTTCTGGTCTCTTTTTATAGCTACAGACATTCTTCCCAAAGACATAAAGGGCATAAAACGTGTGCTAAGAACTTAAAGAAGAGTCCAGTGTCACTCAGACTCCCCTGGCTGCAAGAGAGGCACTCAGTGCCTGGCTGGAATGGCTCTGTAGTTGAGCATCAATCCATGAACCAAGAGGTCATGATTCCATTACGGGTCAGGGCACATGCAAGCAGGAGGCAGCCAATCAATGATTCTCTATCATCATTGGTGCTTCTATCTCTCTCTCCCTCTATCTCCCTCTCCAAAATCATTAAAAATATATTTTAAAAAATATAAGAAAGACAATCAGAGGAGCTCCATCAATTTCTCTAGGCCAGCCTAGAGATTCTGCAGCAGTTCTTGGTCAAATGCCTGTGAAGCCAACCTGGGTTGACTGACCCTTTGTAATGAGAGGGATAGTGTGGTGGGCAACAAGAGTAACAAAGAAGTTGTGTCCTTCTCAACCCATCTTGC